CACACACACACACACACACACACACACACACAAACACATACATATGTTAATTTGTTTTTATTTGCATTTAATCTGTAGGCGAATCTTGGAGAGTGGTTAGCTATGATTGGGTTGAGTCAATATCACCAAGTCTTAGTCCAAAATGGATACGAGAACATTGACTTTATCACTGACATCACGTGGGAGGACCTTCAGGAGATTGGCATTACAAAACTTGGTAAGATAGATAGTGGACTGGGATCCATATTGTTAAAGTGATTTCACACACAAACTTCTGTTCTTTCCAAACTGCCTAGGCCATAGTGGTTTACGCTCTTTCTCTAACCTAATTTGCCTAGGACACCAGAAGAAGTTTATGCTTGCAGTGAAGAAGCTGGCAGAAATCCAGAAGGCCTCTGACGGTCGCAACACATTGCGTAAAAAGCCTCCAGCCGCTCAGGAGGTGATGACTATTGAGAGCCCACCCCACGATAGCGGAGAGTGTATGTCCCCTAAAATGAGCACTTTCCAGGACAGTGAACTGAGTGGGGAGTTACAGGCTGCTCTTACACGCTCTGCTGATGTGCAGGATGGCACAGAAGTGAGAACCAACAGCAGCCTGGGAGCACAACACCGAGCCCGCAGTCTGCATGAGAACAGCATGAACAAGAGCCGAGACACAGAGGAGCCTAGTGGGCCACCCAAAAAGGAGGCACGTACCATGCGCCAGAGCAGCCAGGGGGGCCAGAGAAGTGTCTCATCGGCGCAGGCAAAACCGCGTCAGTCTTATTCCCAAGGTACAGGACCGCCCTATACTCCACCACAAACGCCCACCAAAACAAAACCTCCCACCTCACAGACGGTGGGCAACCCACCGGGTAAACAAAAACCTAGTTCTCAGCTGCTTCAACAGACCGAAAAGCCCATGACACCTCGTGCTCACCCCCAATCCCCCACTCAAAGGTCCCATCCACACCCAGCTGCCCAGCCTGTGGAAACTATGGAAGCTGCACCCCAAGGACCTGCTGTCTCAGTACCACTCCTGTGCCTGCCTCCAGAAGGCAACAAAGCTTGCGATGAGTATGGTCTGCCTAAGAAACGTGCCCACAGCCTGAATCGCTATGCTGTGTCTGATGGTGAGCAGGAGCGGGATGAGCTAAATGTGCCAGATTTAGGAGGAAAGTATGCCACAGTACAGCACCGGGTGGGTCGCAGCAACTCAATGAAAGGGCAGGCAGACAAAAATGTCAACCGAAGCCAGTCCTTTGCACTCAGACAGAAGAAGAAGGGTCCTCCTCCAGCTCCCCCCAAACGCTGTAGTTCAGCCATCTCAAGCTCCAGTAGTAATCTGACAGAAGTGCCCAAGGAGACGAGCAGTGGACCTCTTCTGGAGGTTCCCTACCAACCACAAAGACGTGCAAGTGACCTGGGTGGCACTGTAGACACGGGCAGTGCTGGTAGTGTGAAGAGCATTGCGGCCATGTTGGAAATGTCCTCCATTGGTGGGGGTGCCAAGGGTCTCCATTTGCAGAAATTTGCAGGTCACTATCTGCAGGTAAGGTGGTTGTCATTGTGTCTTTGGGATGATACTTAGTATTTATCATAAAAATGTCTGTTAGCAATATCTGGTGTAGTAAAACAAGATTGTTTCTCTACAGGTGGGTTCTGCAGGAGCAAAGCAGCGTGATGCCATTGGACTGGATGGAGAAGTAGTGAACCGTCGCAGGACTATTAGTGGGCCTGTCACTGAGTTATTAGCAGCTGCCAAGCGAGGACCACA